GTATTCTAAAAACTAATTAATTCTTTATTAAAGGAAATTTTAACCAACCTAAAATTCCTGTGGTGGTTCATTGTTTCGGAAATCTCCCTCCAGTTGGCTCGGCCAACAAATTAAAATTTCGTTTACCGGATAATGAAGCTGTAGCAGTTCGTCGTTGGAGATGTTTGGAGAAGCGCATGGAAAAGGATGAGGATCTGGCGAATACCATGAACGAGAAGATTGCGGAATATAGGACGAAAAACTACATCCGTAAGTTGACATCATGGCGAACCAGCCAATGGCTGAAAGCCTTGTAAATAAAGGAAAAAAAAAAAAAAAAAAAAAAAGTTGACATCGGAGGAGCTTGCAGCAAAGTACGATATTTGCCTATTTTCCCGGTATTTAACCCAAATAAACCCGGAAAAGTGCGGATTGTCTGGGACGCTGCCGCACAAGCGTATGGAATATCCTTGAACTCGGCACTCCTCACTGGTCCAGATCTACTAGCATCGTTGGTTGGCATACTATATCGGTTTCGGGAGTATCGGATCGGTGTGTGTGCGGACATTCGAGAGATGTTCCACCAGATGGGGATCATTCCCGAAGACCAGCATTGCCAGCGTTTCCTGTGGGGTGATCGTGATGAAGACGGGCCGAGCACATACATAATGCAAGTTATGACCTTCGGAGCGAGCTGTTCCCCAGCCACGGCCCAGTATGTGAAGAACAGGAACGCCGACAGATTCGAGGAAGAATTTCCGGAAGCGGTAGCCGTCATCAAAGAAGGGCACTATGTGGACGACATGGTGATAAGCGTAGAAACGGAACAGAAAGCGGTTGAGCTGGCTGAAGCAGTACGGTTCATACACATGCAAGGTGGATTTGAGATCCGTAATTGGGTATCGAACTCGTCATTGGTACAACTCAAAATGAACGGAGAGAAGGCGGTTGAAAAGGACTTAAATATTACTACCGAGCTTGCAAACCAGAAAATACTGGGAATGTGGTGGGATACGCGAGATGATGTCTTCAAGTACAAGATTTGCTGGACGAGATTTGATCAAGCATTGCTCAATGGAAGTCGTTGCCCTACAAAAAGGGAGATTCTCCGGACGCTAATGACAATTTACGATCCACTAGGTCTCATCGATCATTTCCTGATCCTGCTGAAAATCCTCCTGCAAGAAGTATGGCGCGCTAATGTTCAATGGGACGAGAGTATTCCTGAGAATTTGTTCGAGAGATGGCGTGATTGGGTACGTTTGCTGCCAGAGTTAGAACTACTGCGGATTCCTAGATGCTACCGGCAAATTGTGACGTCAACGGAAGCTGCTACTATCGAAATGCACGTTTTTGTAGATGCGAGCGAATGCGCCATGGCGGCGGTCGTATACCTGCGATTAACGGAAGGCGGTAACGTGGAATGCGCGCTGGGGGCTGCCAAGACACGGGTAGCACCTATCAAGTACACTGCAATTCCACGGCTGGAGCTCCAGGCTGCTGTTCTCGGCTGCAGACTGGCGGCTAGCGTTACACAAAACCTGACAATGAAAATCTCCAAACGCACATTCTGGACCGATTCTCGGAATGTACTTTGTTGGCTACGAGCCGACCACAAACGGTACAGCGCATTCGTAGGATCAAGAGTTAGCGAAATTTTGGAGTCAACAAACCTTCAAGAGTGGAGATGGGTACCAACCCGAATGAACGTGGCTGACGATGGAACACGATGGCGGGACCATCTCGATTTATCATCCAGAAGCAGGTGGTTTAGGGGTCCTGAGTTCCTGATGCAAATAGAGGAGACATGGCCCGAGCTTCCACTGAAATCTCTTTCCACTGAGGAAGACATGAGACCCAGTATACTTCTTCACTACAAAGCTCCGGAACCGGCAATCGACGTTTGCAGATTTTCAAGTTGGCGGCGGCTGTTAGCGGTAACTGGATACGTACTCCGATTTTGCTCGAATCTCCGACGTCGTCATTGCAAAGATTCACCTGTTTCTGGACCTCTCTCATCCGAAGAGCTACGAAAAGCTGAAGCATACCATTTCCGACAAGCGCAACGGGATGTATATCAGGATGAAGTCGCAACATTGGATGCAAAAGTGGCAACAGTTAAGCAGATTCCGAAGACCAGCTCTATCTATAAATTGAGTCCATTTGTAGATGACTTGGGTGTCATGAGAATGAAAGACAGAACCGGAGTGTGCTCCTATTTACATAGTGACGCGAAGAACCCTGTTATTCTACCACCAGTTCACCCAGTGACATCGTTAATACTTGCACATTACCACGAAAAATATTTGCATCGCAACTACGAGATCGTTGTCAATGAAGTCCGTCAAAAATTTAGCATCTTCCGTTTGAGACAGACTCTAGCCAAAATTCGCAAGAACTGCCAGTGGTGCAAAAACCGAGACGCTCTTCCTCGGCCACCAGAAATGGCCGATCTTCCAGCAGCAAGGCTTTCCGCATACACAAGGCCATTCGCACATGTGGGGGTCGATTATTTTGGCCCAATTGAGGTATCTATGGGTCGAAGGGTCGAAAAAAGATGGGGTGTTCTACTGACTTGCCTGACGATAAGAGTCGTCCATATTGAGGTAGCCAACACTCTAACAACAAGCTCTTGCATTATGGCTTTAAAAAACTTTATCGCTCGAAGAGGTACACCTGTAGCCTTTTATAGCGACCGAGGAACCAACTTTGTGGGTGCCAACCGGGTGCTACAGGAGATCCATCTGGTAATCGACCAAAATCAACTAATGAACGAGTTCGTTACTTCATCCACGGCTTGGCACTTCAACCCACCAGCGTCGCCCCACATGGGCGGTAGTTGGGAGCGTCTAGTCCAATCGGTCAAGCGCAATCTGGTGGAAGTTCTACGTGTACGACGACCAAGCGATGAAGAGTTAAGGTTCAATTTACTTTGATGCTTTTTCGAAAAATTCAAGAGCAGTTTTTTTCGACGCATTAGTCCAGATTGCAAAATGCTCGCACTATTCGATTCCAAAATGACAAAATGACGCGAGCTTTTAGCAATCTGGAAGAATGCGTCGAAAAAAACTGCTTTTGAATTTTTCGAAAATGCATCAAAGTAAATTGAACCTTAAGGAACGCTCTAACGGAAATAGAAGGTGTACTCAACGCGCGCCCTCTGATCCATTTCACCAAAATGCTTCGATATAGAATGTTCAAAACTATCAAATCTACAAGCGTTGCGATTTTTGAAAATCGTCGGTTTTTGATAGCCATAGCTGAACAAATATTTCAAATGCATCGAATGAAGTGTAACCCTACCCTTTTATATTTTGTACACATTACTTGTACACTTACCACATGAGAAAAACATATAATTCTCTGAAATCACGTTATTCTAGGTGCAAAACACTAAACACTAAACCCCTTAAGCGTGACTGCCTGTCATTTCAAAGGGCCTGTGTTCAATCCCAGTCGGCGTAAAACTGTTGGTCTCGATCCATGGTCGATAGGTAGGGGATCTAGGGTGTGAGAGCTGCCTCCCTGGCGTCGGTAGCACTGATATTCAGTACGGAAAACAAGATCGAAGGAAGACAAATCAAGGAGAAAAAGAGTAAGTAATTCATTCTCGCTAAATTGCCGTTTCGGACCACAATGCATTGGTCTTTTTTTAAAAGTTGAGCGAAAATTTAACAAATTTTAAAGCCTAACCTACAAAACGCCATGCATGGTTTTCATAAAGTTTAAAAATCCAGTAATCACATTATGCAACCAAGTCGAAACGACTGTTTCTTTCAAGTCGACAGTCAGCATGCAAAGGGCGAATACGCCTTGATAGATTCTCTTCATCGATTTTCTAGAATTTGTTCAATGCAGAGTAGTAACAGGTTGTATCGGCTATCAAAAGCAACAGCAAACGTCCCGAGAAACGTTAAATCTAGCGAGTTATTAACAAAAGAGAAAATCGACGAAGAGAATCGATCATCGCGTATAGGCTCTTTTGCATGCTCACTGTCGAAGTGTTCATACGAAATTCGTTTCGTTTCGACACCCCCAATGAGGCCCCAGGTTTACGCCTAACGAATATGCAATCTGCGCTACATGTTTTCGAGTCATTATTTATGCGCCTGCAGTTACGGTAATTCAATCTGCAGCTTCGTTAAATCTAGACTAACATTTGAAAGGGGCGTAAGAGCCAAAATGTAAACAAACCATATTTTGCCACATATAGAGAGAATAGTTCACAAACTTCTCGATAAACACGAAAAAGTAGAAGAAAATATCACTTCAAATCACCAAAAACGTTTCTTCTTACATGGCGTATTTCCAACTTTCAAATCTATGATGAATATGGTTGTTACGCCTTGCACCAGAACAACGAATTATATTGTTTTAATATGCCAAACGTATTGACTCTGTAGTATCTAGTCACGCCCGATTCATTTGAAACGCATCCGATTGATATTTCACGTGTAAACAACGAACAAAAAGAAGACCAAAAAATCTCCGGGCGTAATTCCACTCTCACAAAATTTGCGAACGAAGAACCAAGGCGGAACAACAAACAAAAAATCCCGAGGGTGTACTTCCACGGCGTATCACCAGTGTTGGCAGTTCAAAGGGTGGATGATCTGGGGGGTAACAACATGTATGAAATTATCAGGGCGTATGATGTTTTCTTCTCAATTTCACGACAAAGAAAACTTTTTTTGAGTTTTTAGTGATGCACGATGATAGATTACACTATTAACTATATGTCAAGCTTATAAAATCAACCAGAAAATGGAAAGTCGTGTAATAGGATTAATTTTTAGGTCAACAAAATTCAGAAGCGATTTTCTCGATATGGTCATTTTGGAATTACGCCCTTTTCAAATGTTAGTCTAGAAATATCTCCTATTGCATAAAATGTCACGTCGCTGAGATACGAAGAAGTACTTCCACCGTTCAATTAACAGAGTAAATCAATATTTATTATCGTAAAACACACAAAAAAAAGTCTATACAAAATAAGAGAAAATCAAATATCAAACAAAACGAACCCCGTCACGTCCCCAAACACCCATCCAAATGCCGATTAATCTGCTCGAATTGGATCTTCCTCCCGCAAACCGGGCACTCGCACTGCTCTCCGATGGCAGTCAGATCGATTTCGTCCCCCTCGTCCAAAAGGTGACTGGAGCCACCGGATTCGCTTGCATTCCTCACTCTTCCCGCCTCGTCCTCCTGTTCCATCGTGGCTAACGCTTTCGCTATGTCCTCTTCACTGTAGCCGCATTCCTTGAGAAGCTGGCGATTTTCCTCCCGCTCGGTTTCCTTCTTACTGGGGAGTTTCTTGTTCTTTTTCGAACTCGCTCCGGCCTTCGAGGTGGACGGTTGATTCGGATCGAATGTCTCCTTCTTCGCCTCCTGAACATCGTCTTCCCCAAGCATCACCGAGTAGCACCGCTCCAAATGGGTCGAAACTTGCGATCGTTTGATCTTCTTCAGACACATCGGGCAGGAAACGATTTCGTCCTCTTCGCTGTCCGGCTTCACCTTGGAGTTGTTCGAATTGAACTCCTCAATCAGGGCATCCTGATCACCGAACAGTTCATCAATCACCGATGTGTCCGTCAGCGAGTCATCCAACGATACCAAATCGACCGCTTCATCGTCGTACTCGTCGTCGATTAGCACGATTTCCTCCATATCGTCGTCGGCAAACGATGCCATGATTTCCTTTCTGATCGAATCCTGTCGCTCCTTTTTGATCCGATCCAGATCGATTTCCTCGAAGATGTAATCGTCCGCGTCGTCCGAGAGATCCACAACTACCGCCGCTGATTCCGGGGGTTTGTTCACTGGTTCGATGCGAGGTTTCTTCTCTTGCGGGGGAAACTGGGTTAGCAAACGACTGTTGCGAGCGTTTCCCGGTTGGCCAACGCGACTGGGACCACTAGCAGGTACTCCCAAAGTTTCCCCCCTTCCAGAGAACAAAGGTGGTGACTGATTTTTCGCTGCTGTACTGGGACTTCCGTCGTCTCCGATGAGATCCTTGAACTGTTTGACGTTTTTCAAATTGCTACCCGGGGCAACAATCGGACCGGGTTTCTTTACTGGAGTAGTGACCGGTTCCTGTGATGGCTTTTTGTTGGTGGTGGACGTGGATGGCGGTTTGCGAATGACCACTGTTCTACCGCCGATGTTTGGCGCAGTTGCTGTGTATGGTTTCTTGAAACCGTTTGTGTTCTGAGGAGTAGTTCCCGTTGCATTCCCAGTCGAATTGAAATAGTCCGAAATCCGATTGCCATCCGGGGCCTTTATCGGACTTTTTCCTTTCTTCCCCTGCGAACCTGTCAACCGTGGTTCGTTTTCTTTGTTACCACCTGCCTTCTTCCGCTTCGGTTCCGGTTCCTTAATCTTGATGAACTCTCCTCCGCAGGATCGCTGATGCTCGGCCCACCAGAAATCCGAAGGCCCCGGTTTTCGATTGGCAGTTCGCTTCACCGTCCCGTAGAAGGGAGCCCGATTATGACAGACTCCGTTGCACTTCCACCAGTGCGTCTTGTATAGCTTCACCTCATCGTGGAAGGTGTGGTAGACCTAAGGAAACAAAGTAAACCGTTATTCCGACTCATCAAAACTAAATCATGAGTCAAGCTCACCGTTATATTCGTTCCGGCAATCCGATTGATCCCGTTCATGATCTTCTTAAAATGCGGCCCATGTCCCCCGTTTCCTTCGCGTATTCCCAGCACGAAGCAGTATGCGTGGATCATCTCGTGCAGCAACGTCTCCACCAGATCCTTTCTCGATCGCAGCTTCAGCAATGGTTCACTCAATCGAATCGTACAACTTCTCCCAAAACGATTGGTCCGCTGGTAGCAAATCCCCGCACAGCTGTACATCCTTTTGCTCCACTCCAGCTCGACGCACAAAAGCTTACCCTGGAAGAACTTCCGGTCGAAGATCGGAAACAGGACGTGAATGTCCGGCGTTGGATCCACCACCTCCCAGTCCGGATGGACCAGATTCTGCGTGTTGTTCAGATAGTCGGAAGCCATTGCGTGCTGGCGACATTACCCAAGGCCTAATGGAACATTGAACGTAAACCCGAACTAAAATAAGGAACTATAATCACTGCACATCAGGACATGCAGAGGCCAACGATCTGAGCAACTAACTACCGTATAGGTTGTTTTGTTTTGGTTATTGATGACAATGATGATTATTTGATGATTGATTTTGACAGCGATCAGTCGGACTTGATTCGTGTGAAAAAGGGAGCTGGCTTTTAAGTTCGACTGCGATTTGTACTAAAAATCTGAAGCAATGGATGTCATGCTTGATTTTCGCAACAGATGTCACTGTAGTAAAAAAAAGATACTGTGATTTGTCTTGTATTCATAAAAGGGAAAAATGTTTATTTTAACGGAGTAAAGGGTGGTTTATATGGTATATTGCAGAATAGCAAGTTTATGAACTTGTAGGTAATCTTAACCGGTTTTGCTGAAAAGGCGGACAGAAATATTTAAAAACCTGATCTTTTTGAAGAACCATATTGCTAAGCTGAATCTTTCCTAATTATCCGTTGCTAACCGTTCAAAGTGTTCTAAAAGCTTCTAATATTGTTCTAACCCCTTCTAACCTTTGGAAATATCTGACAAAAACGCCAAAGTTTTGTTTTGTTTATTTGAAGTCAGTCATGCCTCACATTACGAATTTGCATTGCCGCAAACCACACATTTAGATTTTTTGCCGAATCTCGGCTTTTTTGCCGAGATTCGCACAGCCGAGTGCTCGGCAATTATCGCGGCAAAAATTTGTTTGCTTGACGAAAATTGACAGCTGGTGCTTTTTGCTCAGGCCAGTGACAAGGCCTATACCATCAGCAGCGTTTGACAGTAGGCAGGATGTCCCGGGCTCAAATAGTTTATTTTGCTGTTCTGGGCCCACTGTCACGGTATAACATGTTGACTACGCGCCTGCGCGGCTGGTTTTGCTACAAATCTCGGTATGTGCAAAATAATGTCTCGGCACAATAAAACCGAAATCACGGGAATATAAGTAACTGATTTCTCATAAACTTTACCGAGAATTCAGTTGAATTATATTTGAATAATTATTGCGAATTTTTTCTCCATTTAGACTCGAGTAATTTTAATTTCTTCGATCTCATTTTTCGCTTTCGATTTCGCTCTCACTGTTCCCAACATGGAATGTATATAGGGTAAGTGGTAATTCCTGTCAGTGTTTTTTTAAACGTTTGTAGTTTCAGATGGGTTAATGGCTCGGTTAATGGCATACATGTCTGAATATTTTTCTTTTAGACTGTATTTAAATGTCATTCGTTTGAGTCTCGTGATAAGCTGCTCAAGCGGCACGGTGATTGTGAAATTCTGTTTTCGGACGAGAAAATATTCCTGCTACAGAATGACCACAACCCTCGCCACAACCAGCAAAATGATCGGGTATATGCAACATATCTTTCTGATGTTCCTCTTGAAACTCTTACCATTTAAGCTTCTACTTGATCTTGTCGCGCGCAAACGGTTTAACCAGCTGGTTTTGTTATTTAAACATGATCAGTTGGAAGCTTAAGAACTAGGGTCAAAACTAATGGGGTGTTTACATCTGTGCGGTACTGCTACCGCTAGTGTACAACCAACTAGCAGGAATTTAAGTTGCTCCTGAAATCTCATTTTGTTTTGTTTATTATAGAGGTACCTGAAATCTCTTGCTGGTAGACGCTAATGCTCTGTTTACATACTACTGGCTCCTTTTTTACACAATGCTAGTACACTAGCGCTAGCAAATCCTCGCAGATGTAAATACTGCCGCAGCAGCAGCGTTCTGATCGACACTAATGAATTCACTCTTCTGTTCCAGGAAGTCGATCACCATGCTGGTAAATGTCTCTGGGTTGGCATTTCCTTTCAATGGAAACAGCTGAGAATTCTGTGTCAAGCTCATCGGGGGATATGTTGATCCAACTGTCATCGTCCGGAGCCGGCAGGTTCAGTCCCCGCTGACGCAATTCAGGCAGGAAGATCGATGGAATCTTGATTGCAAAATGTAAGAATTACTGCCGATACGAGTTGAGGGTTCTCTTTCAAAGCAGCGGCCACTACTACCATAGAGGTAACTCTAAGACCAGAAGGTCCCGAAGAAACGAGCTCAACTTTTTGGCTCAGCTCTGGTATTATCTTTGGTCCCAAGCTAATCGATTCACCTCTCGAAACATAGGAAAATCCGAGGGGGACGACTCTATCTACGATGCAGAAGAGATTGTGTTCTGCTGTGGCTAGCTGCGCGCACGCTGAGTAGATAGAAGGAAGATTAATGACGATTATAAAGATTTCCTGCAAAAAGATGATGCGCGATGCAAGGAGATGCGACAAATGAAAAAAGATTTTTCGAAGATTGATTCGCTAGTATGAGATTTGTTGAGCATCTAAACTTGAGATTTAGATGTGTCGCCCCCCTCGGGAAAATCCACTAACCCCTCATTTTATCTGTCAAAATTTCATAGCGAATCAAAACAAACATAGTGTAGTACTGGAATTTATATTAGAATGGGATACGTTAATCGATTTTCTTGGGACCAATCGGCTAGTCAAGTAGTGAGCCAATTTAAAATCGTTAGTTTCGTATTGATTGTTGCTACTACTGAAAAAAACAGATTAACCCTGTGATAGTTTTCCTCGATCTTGCCCGGAAAGTCCCGAGTCCGTTTGTCAGTGGAAGATTTGAAATTTTTCTAAACAACCCATTTTTTGTCACTTTCAACTCCTGCCTGGAGTGATGTCGGTGGTGTAAGCTATCACCCCAAAATACCTGGGATCAATCCCAGTCGGCGTCGCAGGGATTTTTTCTGAGGCATAAAATCTCTGAACAGGGAAGTAAAGCCATTGGTTATCGGTCCATGAGTTGATGATAGGTCGATATGTAGGGTCCAGGTGTTGGACCTGCCTCCCTGGCGTCGGTAGCATTGGTACTCAGTACGGAAAACAAATCAAGGAAAAAACTGCCTGGCCCTGATTTCATTTTCCTCCCCCGATGTGGTACAGTTCACCATCGGAGATGAAGGCTCGGTCCTCGCATCACTCCAGGTTGGCCAATGTTCGGCGGCTTCGAACAACAGATTCCCCATCTGAACTGAAACTCGACCTGAAACGAATACCCGGGCTATCAGACCGGGAATACGCCGGGTGGAAAACTGGCCTCTTCCTCAGTTCAATTTTTCTTCGACTCGTCTGGTTCGTACTGGTTCCAACCATTTTTGAGGTGTAAACAAACATTATACCAACCGGTCAGCACTCGTTTTTATTTCAGTTACCATGTATTTTGTGATTAGCCCCAGTCCCTTTCAAATGGTCTCATTATTTATGAACGGCCTTTACATTTAAAATGACGTTTCAAAATAATCTTCAATCTAATCAATCATGATTAAACTGGAATTATTATCAGATGCTTAGTTTTTAGAAAGAGAGTATTAATTTTTAATCTTTCGATATGATTAAACTGAGTTGTCGTTTGTATTAGCTGAATGTCTCGGTAAACATTTCGTTTGCTGTTTTTCAGTATAGCATTTGATTGCTGATCATGATCCAGCAATCTGTTTTACTGATATTGAAAACTTAAATTTGGTGTGAAGGGCCTAATTACGATGATCGATTTTCTCTTTTGTCAATAACTCGTCTGGATTGACATTTATCTGTCCGTTTGGTGTTGCTTTTGCTAGCTAATACAACCTTTCACCACAATGTATTGTGATAATTTCGAAAAAAATGTTCACTGTACTGTGTTAATGCTAAGAGAAAATCGGTGAAGAACTTTCATTTTGGGGAGTATATTTTCTCCGTGTAGGTTTATCTACGCGAAAGACAAAAAAACTACACCCTTTTTTAAAACTGCCGAGCAGAAATTGTTCTAAAATTACACCTTGTTCTAAACTCGGTTTGTTTTGTTTTCCCTTTTTTTGTGTTAGCCAACGTAAACACAGAAAGTGCGGCACACACACTCGTGCCTTCAACTGCAAAAGCTCTGCATTCTGAAGAAAACACCACGCACACCACCAAGAGCCGCATATCCGTACACGGTGCAATGTTGACACTCTGCCCTTTTGTATCGTTCCATCCGTTGGTTGTGTTTGTGAGACGCTCCGCTTAAAAACCACCGATCTCTGTGTGCGTGTGTTCACTCGAAAAAAAAGCTCCCCTTTTGCAGCACCAATCGCGGATCGGATTGGGGAGAAATTTCTCTTCGGCAGTTTTCAGCTCCAGTTCAGTAGGTGCTGAGCCATCGACGAGAACCGAACTGTTTTATCCGCGGACGGACCAGTGGGTAGTTGCTTGTGCGTATACAGCAGCAAAAAGCATCTCGTGTGTGTGCAGTGCAGTTGGGAAATACTTTAATAATCTTCCGAAAATTTCGGTGGAAATCCGTCGTCGCCGTGAGTGGCATCGAACCGAGTGTTGGCCAACCGTGCGCGAAGGAGGTCAAATTGATCAATTTGATCGAAGGAAAAAAGACCAAGTCTTGGCTTTTCAGATTTCAATGGAAAGTGCAGTGGTAGTGTAGTCTGCTGCGGTGTGGTCTGGTGACAGCTCTCGCGGTCGCCCCCCAAGTTTCGAGGGAATCCATCTTGCTCACACATTCGAACGTAGTACACATGAATTCGATTCGTCGGATGGCGGAGCCTTGAGTTTTTACACAGCGGAGAGCGAAAAGTGCCCCTCTAGAGTCTAGAGTAGTGCCCTGGCCTGGCCTGGTGGTGGTGGTCAATCTTCATTTTTCCCGTTCCTCGAGACGAACAACACTCGAGGAGTGTTGTGTTTTTGCTCTGTGTCTGTGCGCGGAAAAGAGAAGGTACTCACACATTAGCCGAAAGAAGGGAGTGTTGTGAGTTGTGCAAGTGAGAGGAGGAGAAGATTGTGGTGAGACACAAAAAAAAAGTCGTCAAGCAGGACCAGGAGAAAGTTGCAGCAACCATCGTTGTCGTTGTCGTTGAGACCTGCTGCATTGGATGCAAAGTGGGAAGAAAAAGGTACGAGTGGTGATTTCGTAGCCATTTAATCGTAATGTTTGGTAGATTTCCAGAACAGTGGGAAATCGATTACTGTGGGAGCTTTTTCCGCTGTAGATGCGAGGAGAATATTTCCCGAAAAACAGCGAATCTGGGAGAGTGAGTGAGAGGGCGAAGGTGGCGCCCGCACAAAAACACAAAGCAGTGTTGCCAGGACGGCAGAAAGGGGTTGGAATGTGTGTGTCAGTGTATTGATGCGAAATGTTGTGCGGAAGCTTTCCTCATGCTGACAACAAACTACAGAGAGGTTGACAGTGCGGAACTGAGGCTGTGTGAGCGTGTGTGTATTTACATCGTTCCTCTGGGTGCAGCCGCAGGGTTTTGACTGTGATGTTGGGGCAGAGCTGCCAGGTGGTTTTATAAAAAATCTGTATCCACTCTATTAAAAAATCTGTATTTTCTGTATTGACGATTTTTTTCTTAATTAATCATGTTTTGTTGTTTTACAAATACAGTGCATACAAAATAACAATAAAAAGTGCTTAACCACCTATTCGGGCTATCGTACTAACCATACTGGATATAATTGCGCCATTTGTGATATCGTCCGTACTTATTTATAAGAGTGATATGAAGCCGTTTGAAAGTGTATGGAGATTTTAGTTTCTATTCATTATCTTCCTGATAAGCAGTTTTAAATGCAAAAAAGTGCACGAGTTTATTACTATTTGATATTTTTAATATAGATAAATACAATTAATTACATCATTTGTGTGGTAGTTACACCGAAAAGTCGAGAGATGTCGCCCCGCCAGTGCTGGTAAAATCATTTTTGCAGTATGGAGAATATCAGAAAATCCGCAATTTCTTACGAAATACATTTTCAATGCAAGTAAAATGTTTACGAGTACTTGTATTTGTACCATTTTAATGTGCTCGGGCACTTTTCTTGTATTTAACATACATGCTTATATTGGAAATATTCAATTAATACTGTAAATCCCCATACAATCTCAAATCGTTTACTACTAGCTCCATATGCATCCGAAAGCGGTTGGTCCTCTGGTTGTGAATGCTGTCAAAAACACCATAACATGATTAATTGTCGATGGAAATTTGATAGGTTCCCGAGCAGAGGGTGAGAACAAAATGAAAACAAAAATTATGTTGTTTTCATTATTCCTGATAACTCAAATTGATTTCATTTTGATGGAGTTGATGGCTAACAGAACAAAAATGAGAGCTAAAAGATATGCGAAGAATACCAAAATTATAACATATATTGATATTAGTGAGAACTGCTTGATAACTTATTTTGATATGAATATTTTATTTAGATTACAAATTTAGTTATCAACATGTTATTGCATGCATGCCAAAAAAACAAAATAAAAATACATCAAATTTTGATGTCATCATGAGTTATTAAAAGGCAGCTATATAAACGCACAGTGGAATCGATTAAATGTTCCATAAACTTTTTAATTTTTTTTTTATGTTAGAGGAGCATAGCGACGAGTAAGCTTCTTCTAGTCTTTTGAGCCAAATTGGATTTCGTTTTCTTTCATGTTCGCCATTTTCCTTCTGTGAAGTTATATTTAGTAGAGAGTCGCGAATTTTGTGATATTCTCCATACTGCAAAAACAGTTTTCCAACCACTGGAGGGGCAAAAACTCTCGGATATTTGATAAAACTACCACTAAACCAAGTATGGTTTTTAGCACAACAATTAATTTTGGAGAGAAGGGGGTACGCTGATAAAATCGAGCAAGTTATTTTGTTTTTATAAATTTTGAATTTTTTTTTTCTCAAGCATTTTATAAAAATCTGTATAAATCTGTATTGTAATTTAAAAATCTGTGATAAATCTGTATTCTGTATCGGGTCTGTATTAAGATTAAAAAATCTGTATAATACAGATAAATCTGTATAAATGGCAGCGCTGTGTTGGGGATTTGGATTTTTATTTCCAACGATGAAAAGTAGTAGGAGATTCAGGAAAAACAAAGGTGAAACTAGTGTTGCCAGTGAATGTGAATGTTATATTGTCATCAAAATTGATGGCGATATTTTAACAGTGCCTTCTCCAAACAATGCGGAGGAAAGTTTGAATAAAGTGGACTAAAGAGTCCTACGTCAATATTTTCGGTACCGGAAGGCCCACTTCTCTTTAAAAGTTGTATATCCGATGGGTTGTTCTTAATGACAAGCTTCCTGTCGAAAGATGCCGTGGATAAGATCCCACCCGATTGTTGAGGAAAAAATCGCTCACTTTTTGTTTTATTAGCAGAAGCTCATATTGTAGAATGTTAAGCATTTGATCAGTATAGAATTCCAGGATATAATGTTGCTGCTTGGTTATCGCATTCTAGACACACTGGCGGTGTTGCTATTTATGTCAAAGACTCAGTTCAATTCAATCTTCGTACCAACGAATATATTAGTGGCAATTGGTTCTTGGGCATTCCTACAGTTGTACGTGGCATGAAGATGGGTATTTATGGCAGTTCATCATACAGCGTAATATCAACCGGTGGCAACTAACGATTTTAAATTGGCTCACTACTTGACTAGCCTATTGGTCCCAAGCAAACGATTAACGTACCCCAAACTTTTTTTCCAAGTAGCCCTAAGAACAATTTCTTGGGTACAAATTGGACTTGGAACTACTTGGAAAGCAGTTCCAGATAATTTTAAGGAGAAATCCATGTAAATTTTCAGTACAACTTAGACGAGAACTCCAAGACAATTCAGATTAAAAATTTATAAGAACTCAGAGGTGAACAGTATGGGAATTTCTAAGGGGGTGAATTCTTTAAAAGAGTGTATACTTCAAAGAGAATCTAAGGACGAATTTGATGATTGTTTTAGTGTTCTGCAGAGAATTTCTGCACTGTTATAAAGAAAATTCAATGCACTCCCAGAGATGAACTCTATAAAAATAAATTCTTTTGAAAGAAATACTTCAACTTAAATATAATCCTGTTAAGCTCTGTAAAGCTATGGAACTTCAAATACGGCAAGTTGGAATTTAAATAACTGAACAGTCTCAAATACTCATGTTAAATATTTATTTCGTTACAATATATAAGAACCTTATGGTAACTAAAATTAAACACTTCATCAATAAGTAGCTTTTGGTTTTATATATTATTAATCTACTGATTGGTTTAAGTTAAATTTGAATCCACGTCTCTAAAATTTCACCTTTCACCAAGTTCATGTACCTTTTTTTTTTTATTATTATAGTCACTTTAACGCTCTTGGGTCATTCGTGACTTGTCCGGGGGTGAGATTTGAACTCGTGACTTTGGCGTGAGAGGTATGGATGCTAACCACTACGCCGGGGTCGCCCCCAGTTCATGTACCTGTTGAGTTTAAATTTTTATTCTTATGTGTATAAAATTTAACCCTTGGATCATTTTCAATGTCCTAGAACTCTAGTTTTGTAGGCAATTCCAAGGCAACCTTGAATAGGATTCAATACAAATTTTAATGAAAATTCATAACAGCTTTTGACTCTAATTCTTAAGGAATTATGAGAAAATTTGGACGAGGATTACACCATCATCATTCTGAGGAGAACTTCAAGATAATACAAAAGAGGACATTCTGAGGATAATTTAAAGAAGATTCTGGGACAAAAGAATCCGAAGCATATTTCTATGTGAGTTTTTCGGAGAAACATAGGATTACAATTGAATATGAGTATAATTTCTATCGAACTTCAAATGAATTTGGTCAAAAATTTCAAGAGGGTTCTGACAAATTTTGTGGAGAAATTTGAGCAAAACTGAAAGTATTTTTTCGGTTAATGCTGGGTAATGCGCAATACAGATCCCATTGAGATCACTAGCCTCTTCCCAGCAACTCCTATCCCTACTTCCCCGTGGTACCGGCCGGAACTGTGAGCAACCTTAGGGAAGATCGGTTAACCAACCCCGGTGGGAACTTTGGTCATAGGCTGACAGGGAAGGGGGGGTTTGCTTCGGCAAGCCTGAGCGTCTGTTCTCCAGGAGGAGCGGCTCACAACAGCGTCTGTTCCCATGTTAGAGGCGGCTGATCTACGTCCGAGTGCCAGTGAAGGACTCTAAGCACAACTGTGCACCCTGCTATCCGGAAAGTTAGGTGGTTGGTGTCAGGCCCTGCGAGCCAGCCGTAAAAAAGCATTGCAACGGAAAATCAGCAACAGAGCAATACGAACCGAGACCAACGGCAACGACCCCAGCGACGAAATAGGACTTGCGATTGGAAACTCGGCACGTGGAACTGTCGATCTCTCAATTTCATCGGGAGCACCCGAATACTCGCCAATCTACTGAAGGACCGCGGATTCGGCATCGTAGCGCTGCAGGAGGTGTGTTGGACAGGATCCATGGTGCGAACGTTCAGAGGTAATCATACCATCTACCAGAGTTGCGGCAACACACGCGATCGGTTCGTGACCGATCGACGAAAGAATGTGCAGGTTGAGTCAGTGCTTCCGGAGTAAGGGCTGTGCACGTTGATTGCACAGCCCTTACTCCGGAAGCACTGATGATGACAAGGATGCATTTCACGCGCAGCTCGACCGCGAGTATGATCGCTGCCAAAGTCACGACGTCAAGATTATCATAGGAGACCTAAACGCTCAGGTAGGCCAGGAGGAGGAATTCAGACCGACGATTGGAAAGTTCAGCGCCCACCAGCTGACAAACGGGAACGGCCTACGACTCATCGATTTCACCGCCTCCAAGAACATGGCCATACGTAGCACCTTCTTCCAACACCACCTCCCCTATCGTTACACCTGGAGATCACCACAGCAGACGGAATCACAAATTGACCACGTTCTGATTGATGGCCGGCACTTCTCCGACATTATCGACGTCAGGACCTATCGTGGCGCTAACATCGACTCTGACCACTACCTGGTGATGGTCAAACTGCGCCTAAAACTTTCCGTCATCAACAATATACAGTACCGTCGCCCGCCACGGTACAACCTAGAGCGACTGAAGCAACCGGATGTCGCCTTAGCA